CATTTCTGAATGAAATATTAGCTCACGTTAATAATCTATTTTTAATGTAACGATCATGCAATCGTGTGTACGTGGAGCCTAGATTTCACTGAAATTCAGATGATGCTTTGCACTGTATCATGCCATCTTTTCATTCTATTAAAAATCAATTTTAAGAAGCTGTTAAAACAATTAAGTCAGGGAGCCTGACAGCCTTCAAGGGAGGGAGTTGCCAGTAGACGTTTGGATGCCCGTGGGCACCAGATTCCTTATACATCTTCCAACCATAGTTTTGCAAAGCTCAGAGTGATACTAACTGATGTAAATGCTATCATTTTCTCCTTCTGTATCAGGGTTTTCTTTCAGAACAGCAGCACTGTAGCTGTAGGTACTATGAGATAATAAATAGCAAGAAATGTACTTCCTTCCCAAAGAAAAATTAGCCAAAGGAACGATGTCCCAGCCTTGTTCTCATTTGTTACCTTTTCCTTTTGTTCCTTGAAATGGCCAGAAAGACACTGAGTACTCCAGACGCTGCATATTTTTATTTTAAAACTATTCTGTTTGGGAGGAAATCCATGATGGCATAAAGTTTGCATTTCCAGGGAGGATGTTGATGGGACAACTCTCCCCATGTTATTTGATTTTGTTTAGATTCTTTTAATTACCACAAAAAGGGAAGATAGTATGCTCAGAAGCGAACACTCGTCTCAAACCGAATCTATATCTGCCTTTAGGCCTTCTATAGATCCAAGACATTGTTAGCAAGCAAATTAATGGCTCTAGCGCTTTGTTTCAAAGTGATCCCGCCTGGCCAGAGGGGAAGAATTAAGCCTGAGTGGTAAACTTCTTCTGAGGAGGCAAGAGAGGATGGTGTAGAGCAACCTTGCCTGTTCCTCTTCTAGTAAAAAAAAGAAAAGTAATTAGTTGTGTTGCCCGTAGCTGCACTCACCATGCCAAGCAGTTCGGACAGCGTCTCAAACATGCCTTTTCCATTCCAGATGTGTACACTGACCAGCAAGGTAGAGACCTCTGGTATTCACTACCACGTGCCTTCATCAACTGCATAAGATGCTATTTTAAATGTGATTGTTGTTAATTAGGTTTAGGTCATAGGGAGATGAAATGTAGGAAGCAGGTGGTGATCCTTAACTTCTTCACAGAAGGCATTTCCAGGAAGAGTTATTGGGTGTGACTCAGGCATTCCAGTTTTGGCAACTGCAATCATCAATGTAGAGGACTTTTTCTCAACCTTGACAACTTTAAGATATGTGGACTGGGCTGGCTGGGGAATTCTGGGAGTTGAAGTCCACACATCTTAAAGTTGTCAAGGTTGAGAAAGACTGCTGTGGAATGATGAGCCATTGTCCCCGCTAAAGCTAGGGGAGAAAAAGATACCAAAACATCCCCAGAACATTTTATTTAATCAACTAGGTGAGTCATTTTTCCAACTAACAAGACAGGTCCTTTTCATGCTGAGTAGCAACAGAAGGTTTATTTGTGGCAATAGTCTTCTTGCACTGCATTAGATGGCACACAAAATCATAGATTAAGTCTGATAACTAGAGGGTGTATCCTGGTGCTGGCTGTTCAGTCCTGGAATGAATAAACACAGATCTGACAATCAAGGCCAAAATAAGGGATGGCTGTTGCAAGCTTTAAGATGTTTTTCATCTCCCAGTTTTTCGGAAAGTAGCAGAAAGGCATTGTTTTGGCCAGGCTTTTAACTGTTAATTATTTTAACAATATTGATTTTAATTTTTTTTTATTTTAAGTGCAGTGATTTTATTGTTACATCATGTTTTCAATTTTTCAAAAAAAATTGTTGAGTGTTTGTACAAACAAAATCAAAGTATAAACTTGATGATAAATAATAACCCATCCTATTTCCATTTGCTGGGAAATTGCTTCCATGAAGTGATGTCAGGCTCAGCCTGAGAACAACGATGAAACAGTTCCTTTATTTGCTTACACCTTATAGACAGAATCTTGCCAAACTAAATCTATATTACAGCGACTAGTGGATATACCCTGGGAGATTCTAGGGAGTGGCTATTCTAAACCTCTTATATTTCCCATGCTCCTGCTCCGGACTGTGTTGTCACTTGTCTCCTTTCCCCTGCTGGAATGCGCCCCCCCTTCCTGATAGCCTTGATCTCCCACATCACTCTCCTCCTCGTAGATACATTCCATCACAAGTGAGGACACCAGTATCTGCCTCTGGATGAAATGATCCCAAGGAGCTGAATCACCAGAATGCTTCTTGGGGATCAGTCATCACAGAAGAATCATTGGACTCTAATGTTATGCAAGCCAAAAACTCATAAAAGCCATCAGTTCAATAACAATAATATTCCATGTATCAACACAATAACAGCAGATTCCAATAATTGTCACAATAATACTTCAACATCTGTCATAGAGATACTTTACTCCTTTCTCACTCTCCAAATGCTGTTTTTAAAAGTCACGTGTTTAACAGATTCATGAATATCAAGAGTGAAAGTGTAGATCTTATTTCTGTTGTAAGTCATTATGTAGAAAGGAGGCTACAGCAGAGATTTCTTGCTTTCAAGACCCCTCCTTTTTCACCTACCTGAGATGGGGACCTTGTGCCAAAGGGGGGAAGATTCTTTGGAGGAAGCCATCTTGCAGATAATCAGGCTCCAAACTATGTAGGACTTTCTGGGTATCACCAGAACTTACCCACACTAGTACAGTTCCCATAGTACTGGGTATTATATGGTAGTAATAGGTTGTTCCTGTTAGTATGTGAATCACTATATTTTTCACTATTTAGCTTCTGGGTGGTCTTCAAGGGTGGTCCCATGTAAAGCAAATTACAGGATTCCATACACAAGACAATGCTTAAGTGACTTTTTTAGTGCTTCCCGTTCTAGGACAAGTCTCAAACAGGTTGTCTGCAAGCTGAGAGTCCAGTAGAATCCTCAGATTGTAACTTAGTTCATTATAGAGGAGCTTTAGCCTATCTTGAGCTAAAGCTGGAGTAGTCCCCGATTTAGTCATGTTCTGAGACAGAAGCCACTTCACCTTGCCAGGGTTAAATCTCAACCTCTTTCTCCCCATCCAGACCCTTACAGCCTCCAGAACCTGGGTCAAGATACAAGAGTCTGTGATAGAGATGTATAGCTGGTATTCTGTATACTGAAGATTCAAACCCCCAAACCATTGGATGATCTCCCCCAACAGCTTCATATACTTGTTAAGTAAGATAGGGGAGAAAGTTGACTCCTGTGGCACTGCATACTTGAGGGCTTGGCATCTCCTCCCCACCACACACTGCCCAAAGTTGGCCACTAACAGATTGAAACCACCCAGAAAAGTACCCCCAACTTCCAACCCTTGTAGGCAGTCCAGATGGATATCATGGATGGTGGTAAGGCCACCAAAAGATCCAGCAGGACTACTCGTGTCCCACTCCCCTCTTAAGCTCTGGTGTAGGTCACCAATGAGAGCAACCATTGTGGTTCTTGTCGCATGCCTTGGCCTGAACCTAGAGTGAAAATAGCCCAGATTATGTATTTCTTCCAGAGCCCTTTGTAGTATTCATCCTACCGCCTTCTCAACAGCCTTCCCTAAAATGGGAATATTAGACACTGGGTGATATTATTCAATACATCTAGGTCCAGCTCAGCCCCTTGAATCCTTTCCAAAGACATCTTCCCCTCCCACAATGAGATGTTCACAACAGTCCAGCCTCCCTGGTAGCACTACAAGCCAGATGAGGCAGGGATCTGGCCCACATATAGCAGAGTTTATCTCCCCAAGGACTCTGTACACATCCTCAGGATTGTTGCCAAGCAATCTGCATGTTGTACCATCATCCGATTGTGCTGCTGGTAACCAAAACACTGGCTGTCCCCAGACTAAATGATCCCAGATAGCTGGGCTGCAACATTAAATAATAGTAATTTGCACTGAAGCATCTTAAAAACATTTACAATCCTTGGAATATGCAATCTGGGCATCAGAGAACGTTGCTGATGTTAGTTCTATTCACAAATGACATCTTCATATTTTAAATATAGATGTTTAATAATGTTGCTTTAAAATGTGCATTTACATTTCTTGAAGGCTTTATAAGTTTTTGTGACTCAATCAGGTTTCACATCTATGTTGTTTTCTGATGCGCTGGCCAAATGAATTGCTCTCTGTTCCACCAGACTGTATAACAGTGAGGTCTCTGCTGAGTTCACTTCAGCTAGATTTTACAGTAAAAATGGTTCTACGTCATGAACTGAATCTTAAGGCATCTTTTATTTCAGTCCAGTCGCCAATGTGTGTTTGCTGTTCTAATTTAGAATATGGTGCCAGATGACTGGTGCAAGGTTCTGCTGGGACCTTTCTTTGGTCACTGACAAAGACCTGGGACTTTCTCTGGACAGCATACAGTAGATGACTGGATTGGCAGGTGAATCTGGTAGAATGTCTCCTACAGACCGTGTGCTTTAGCCAACACTTCAACAGAAGTAAATGGTTCACCAGTGCTTTCCTTCCTCCCAGAATTGGCCTCTTTGGGTGGTCATCTCATTCAGCCTAATAGTGGGACTGGCCATCAATGTTAATAAACTGAAGAGGATGTTTTTACTTAACTCTGAAACACAACAGGAAGACAAAAGGGAGAGGTTACTATTTTAGGTCTATCATGGGCCTAAACCAGCAATGGGTGATACATGCCCTTGAATGCCAGCTCCAGCCCATGGTCAGCAATATGGCGGGAATGTTAGAATCACTCAGAAATATCTGGAAGGTCATATAGTGTTCACTCCTTTCCTAAACCTTTAAACTTTTTATAGGATAAATCGACTAAAGGGCTTGGGAGTCCAATTGGGAAAGTACATTTCCTTACTAGTTTAGAGCATACATCTATTTACTGACTTTTACCATGTTATGCTTTGAAGCGGTCTGTCCTTCTCCTGTTGTATCACACATTTTATCAGCATTTGCTTATTAGGTCTACTGGTTGGAGTCTGAGTCTTTGCCCGGTGTAGAAGTCTTATTCATCAGTGTTTTTTTGATACAGATTATCCCCAAACCTGGATAATGTCTGCCAGCCTAGTGGTGACACGAAGTCTTCTGAGAGAAGACACAGGGACAGCAGAGAATTTCCTCTTATGTGGATCTACCTTGTCAGAGATTACTGAAGAAACAGAGTACATTAAAAAGGTATGGATTTTTGTATAAACGTGTAATAAAACCAGATCACTGGTCTATGTAGTTCATCTAAATGACTGCGATGGACAGTCCAAGATCTCAAGGAAAGTTAGTTATTTAAGATCCTTTTAATTGTCAGTGCTAAGCACTGTGCCTGGGTAAAACACATGTACTGTAACTGAGATATGGTGTGTGTATGGTACACACACACACACACACAGCTTGCATACTGTGTCTAGATCAAGAATGATGAGGAGTCTGGAAATCAAGTCCTACCAGAAAGAAGTATGTTGGCTATGTTTAGCCTTGAGAAGAAAATACTGAATGGGACACATGATGATGTTCTCCTTCATAGTCCCAGCATGCAGGATACAAAATAATTATTTGAAGTTACAGGAAGGCAGATCCTGGTTGAATATTAGGAAAAACAGGGGACAGTTGACAGTGGGAGTATTTTCTAGGAGAGGTCATTGCTGAATGTTTTCAAACAGAGCTTAGATAGCCATTTGTCCTGGATGTTTAAATTTCGGATCCTGCTGTGAGCAAAAGATTGAGACCTACCAGTTCTATTTGTTTAATTTTAATTTTTTAAAACATTTAAAGAATGAAATGAATGACTACAGAAAAGGAAAAAGAAGAGAGAAAAGGACATAGTGGATGGAAAATACAACATCAGTAAATAAACACAATTTACAATTGTCATAAAATTTAAAATGTTATTTCATTGATTGAATAATTGAATATATCAAACTAAACTGAGAAATAATTGTAAGTCACTACAAAACATTAGTGATTTAATCTAATCATCTAAACATTAATATTTATATTGATGTCACCACTATTTACCATTATCTAAAATAAATGCACTTGATCTTATAATACAAAAACAATTTAAAACATTAAGTTCTATATTCTTTCCCATTGTACATGACTGGTGATTACATTATTTTTCTAAATATTAAAATTGCTTCTTGGCACTATCTTTACATCGAATATTTTCCTCTTAAAAGCCATAAGTATCTGAGTTTGTTTTTTTCCTGCAGATTCGATCCACGCTAGCCAAAGTTCAGCCTCTGTTCTATAAAAAGGAATCCAACCATGGGATTGCAAATGGCATGCTGGATTCAAAGGTATGAAAGATTTTGTGTGTTGTAATGACCAATAAGAGAGATTTGTTCTGCACGATAGAAGGGCAGCAAATAAAATATATTTGTTCTGCACAATAGGATAGGTGACCTTCAGACCAATGTTAGCCACTCAGTAGCCAAATTATGTTCATCAGGCCAGTCCTCTCTCAGCTGACATACAGAACATTGGGATACTTACGAAATCTATAATATCCTTTAGACCAGTGTTGTCCAAACTTGGCCACTTTAAGATGAGTGGACTTCAACCCCCAGAATTCCCCAGCCAGCCATGCTGGCTGGGGAATTCTGGGAGTTGAAGTCCACTCATCTTAAAGTGGCCAAGTTTGGACAACACTGCTTTAGACTTAACCTATTTTTGTTTCCTTTGACCAATGCTTTCAGCCATGTCTGAAAATATGCTTTTTTGTGTTTCCATTTATAAGCAATATTTTATTTTGCTTTATGACAATATTAACAATTTGAATTTAGGACTCAGCTACGTATTATAGAAAGCCCATTTGATCTTCATATCTTCTACAGTAGTTTCATAATCTGCCGCATATTTTTATCGCATTGCCTGTATAGTGTCTTTGTATTTCCTTTTGTCACGCTGACTGATCATTGACTGCAAATTGTTATCATCATCACCATCATCTTCATCATCTTCATTTAGTCCACAATAAGCCAGACATAACTGTAGTTACAAGTATGGGTAATTAAAATTTCAGTATCTAGAATTCATTCAGTGAGAAAGAACTAGGAAAAAAAATGGAAATATAAAGACCTTCAAATAGTGATTGAGTGAATGTGGAAAAAGAAAGAACTAGTGGTGCTAATAGTGGTTCGTGTGCTTGATGCTATACCAAAAGATCTGGAAAACTACTTGCCACATGATAGGAATGAACAGAATCTCGACACATCAGTTCCAAAATTCACATTACTTGGAATGGCAAAATATTTCAATGGTAATTTTAGCTGTTCTAGATCCTTGGGAAGGATCCAATGGTCAAAGCACTAAATGTAGTCAAAACCATCTGGTAGGCTATATGCAAATAACAACATTTTCAGTGTTAACTCCTGGCAACTGCCTGGACTAGTCCCTGCAGTTTTCTTGGCAAGATTTTTGGAAGTGGCTTGCCATTTCCTTCTTCCTAGGGCTGAGAGAGAGGGAATGGCCCAAGGTCACCCACCTGGTTTCATGCCTAAGGCAAAACTAGAACTCATGGCATCCTGGTTTCTAGCCTAATGTCTTAACCATTGCACCAAACTGACTCTCGATAATGCAGTAGGGTGGCACCTTGTCCTTCTCTATGGAGTAGAGTGGATTTGCTGATTAATGCCCACTTCTTGATTCTCTCCAATTTTAGCCAACTGATCCTGCCTTTGTACATTTTAAGAAGCAGCAGCTAAGGGGACTATGGTACTCCATAACTCAAGTGTTGCCCATTTTGTCACACTAATAAAATAGCAAGGTTCACAATTTGTCCTATAACCCTGGTGCTAATTAAGCAGACGTTACAGGCTCTTATGAGTTCAATGTTCATAAAGCAAGTTAAGGCATTCTTGGCTTTTACATGTCTAATGCCCCTGATCTGCAAACCTTGGCAGAATGAGTTTGCTGCCTGATGCACTCTTCCAAGTACTAATTAATCTTGTAGGCAGAGAAGGTTGCCCTAAGGGAATTGGAGCTGTTATTTATCAGGTCTGTTGTGCTAATGCTTTCAGATAGAAAACTCTGGGGAGCTGAGCAAATAGAACATGATATTTTACTGCATGGGTTGGGAGGTGAAAAAACATTTTTGCTAGAAGCTTAAATTCCCCTGGGTCCAGTTCATGGATGAAGGTACAGGTGGAACCTTTGGCATCAAAAATTCACCCTAATTATTCTTCAATGACATTTGTCTACTAGTCAGTCAGGTCTGGTTTAAGGGGTCACAGAGCGTGCAGCTGCATTGGGCCCAAGAAAAGTTGAGGTCCTCCAAGCAGAGCAGTGGGCAGAAGTGGGTGGGTGAGGAATCTAAGGGGGTGAAAGCAAAGAGGCTGCCTACCTCCACCACTCCACCCTTGAGAAAGACATGTTAGCCATGCGGTGGCAGGGTTTTTGAGCAGACCAGTCTACTCATTGACAAGGACAGCTTCATGTTAGCTAGTGGAATGATCAGGCTGCTATAGGGAAAGTGTCTGGACCAGATGGTTTACCAGTTTCTTATTATAAACATTTTGAAGATGAACTACTACAACCGTTGCAACACGTGGTGAACTCTATTTTACAGACTGGAAAGATACCAGACAGTTAGATAGAGGCCATTGTAACATCAATACCTAAAGAAACTCAAGATTTGACCTCACCAAAAATTATCACTTAATATCATTACTGAATAATGATAAGTTATTTATGATGATTTTAGCTGAGAGAATGAAGATGCTTTTATGGGACTTTATTCATGAAGTTCAGTGCGGGTTTTTACCTAAAAGACAGCTGAGGGACAATATTAGAAATTTATTGGCTATTTTGGAATACTTGGAACAACATAATGAAAAACAAGCAGCACTGATTTTTCTTGATGCAAAAAAGGCCTTTGACAATTTGAACTAGACGTTCTTGTTTGAAAGTTTGGAGTATATGGACTTTGGTGAGAATTTTGTCAAATGGGTAAGGTTGATTTACATTTCAGAAAAGGCACAGATAATTGCGAATGGGGAATTAACAAAACATTGTCAGATACAGAAAAGGACTAAACAAGGATGCTCCTTGTCACTAATGTTATTCATTTTACCTTTGGAAGTATTGAATAGAGATATAAGGTGAGATGAGAGAATTGTTGGAGTGAAGATTAAAAGAGAAACTTATAAATGTCAGGCATTTGCTGACAACCTGGTGATAACCTTGGAAGGTCCCGTGGAAGAAATAGAAATATTAATGGAAAAACCGAAGGACTTCGGGGTATTAGCTGGCTTTAAAATTAACAAAAGACTTTTTTTTTAACAACAAACAAAAGACGGTGTATATGATTACTGTTGTGAGACTATTATATGTGCAAAGATGGAAAAACTCTGAAATACCCATATTGGAGGATTGGTTGGTGAAGATGACAGAACTAGCAGAGATGGCAAAATTAATTTTGTTTGACTGGAAACCTCTTACTGACTTTTTTCTGGAAAAAGAGAGAAATGAACTTGTGATTTATGGGTTTGAAGATTAGAAAGGGTAGCTTATGGAAAGAAGGAAATTATGATGTAACCTTAGAGAGGGTAAAATATAAATGTATCTATGACCATTGTCAAGAAGATTAGAAGCTGCTTCTTTGGAATCTTTCCTTTCCTTTCCTTTCCTTTCCTTTCCTTTCCTTTCCTTTCCTTTCCTTTCC